AGGCTGGCCAAGCCTGCAACAATTACGGTAATCCAGATATTGCTTGTTCAGTGCAACTATGTAATTGAAATTTCGTCCTGTTTCTGAATATTAAGTAAATATGAGATCTTCACCCAAAGAACCAGCCTGATGTCATTTTCCTTTGCTTAATCTAATATAGTGAAAATGGGTCCTTTCCTCCCTGCCCCTGTTTTACTGGTCCTTAGCTGTGCAAACCAGCTTGAAGGGCATTCCCAAATTCAAGGCTGGGACTGACCTGCCCTAAATAAACCTCATGAAAGGAGCTTAAGCCTGTGAATGAAAAGGTAAGTCACTGATTCTATAGTCAAATTGGACTACTGCAAACTGAGCTATTAGAGGCCTTGTGTGAGAACGTCTGATTTTTTTAAAATTATGGCAAAAACTAACTTGTGTTGACAGCTACTTAGAAAAACCTCCTAGAGCCATAGTCGTAGGCTGAGGAGGTATGTTAGGTGCTAAAGACCAGACCTGCTGAAGTATTCTCTAAATCCTGAAGTACTTTAGCTGTAGTGATGAGGTGTCTTGATTTCAATTCACCCTCAGAGGTTTGCATACTTCCTGCAAAGAGCTGTGAACAGCATCCCTTCTCTAGCTAACAGCTGGGTGAATCTGCATGAATTTGCCCTTCTAGGAGCAGTTACTAATGTTGTCTTGTAAAATATTGAAAAATGGAACATAGTTCTGTTAGTCAAGCAGGACATTTGGAGTGATCTCAAAGGATAACGTGAACTTAATTGGAAGCTACTCACGTGAAAGAGCAAGGATTAATCTGAAGTTAAGGGGAAAATGCATTTTTTAAAAATCCTCTTATTGTTCAGTTTATGTTCTATCTCATTAAATTCTTGTACAGCCTGGGACCTCTGTTTTCCCATTGCTAGGAGTGCCGGCTTTATTACCATTCCGCCAACAAAAATGGAGATTCTTAGCTCTGATAAAAATACACTTATTGATGGGCTTGCTTTTTCCTCTTGTCTCTTCAGGCAAAAATGCATCTCCTATTTATAGCAAAAGTTAGATCATGGTGTGTTGGGACTTCAATTATTAAAATTTTGATCCCATCTTTATTATGAGGTGGATTGAAAACCTTTGCTAGAGTTGCAGACATACCATTTAAAACTTTTGCAGATCCTTTTGCATTTGAGGGATTCACCATACCATAAGAACAGCTATTTCTAGAGTGTTACTGGAATCATTTTAGGTGGTGCTTGGTCTGTGAAAGTGTTTCCCCTTCTTCTGACTGTCTGTTGAAATCCTTCAAAGGGAGGGGGAAGAACACTTAAAGCTTATGCTAGTAACTTAAATGCCTTAATGAATTTCTTTCTGGATTACTGGGTAAACCAATGTGCTTTTCCAACATGGAGAAGCTTTTTATTTCAAGACTTCGTTTCCTGATTTTTACCTTAAACTAACAATAGATAAAATTTTCCAAAAACGTCTAGGAAGCCAAGTCTTGGAAAGGAAACTATTTCACATACTGATTGTTCCTGCAGTTCTCTTAGCTCCTCAGTTATGTCATATCAGCTGAATAATTCTTTTAGTGCCTTCTAGTCCTAACCCGGTCTTGTACTAAGCAGAATGAAATACGTAGGCTCATTCTTTGAACTGTCTTCTAGTTTCAGCTCAAAATACTGATAAAAGGATAATTCTGATGCTTAACTGGTATCTCTTATTACAGGGGGAAGATTCTCTTTAACGTGATTATTTACAAGTAATAGTTCCTCATCATGGCTGAACTATCGCCTGAAGAAATTCAGCTGAGGGCCAACCAGGTCACTGATGAGGTAAATATTATAGGAAGCCATCTGGGATTACAGTACTTATCTGCGAAGATAAGTACTTTTAAAAATAAAGACAATCTAGGGTAGTGATTCTGCAAGGGTATAGCTGAATGTTTCAAACTCTGACTTTACTTGGTAAATACTGGAGTGAAGACTAATCCTAAAAGTAAGAATGAATTTAAACTTCTGAATTGTAAAGCCACCTACTTGACTGAGTACTGATCACCCAGTCCTGATTACTGAGACAATACAGGCTGGATACCTACACTGTTTTTAATCGTGTTGATACTTCATGACTTTTTTTATTTATCTAAAATTCATTTGAGTATATTTTCTTTTATAATGACTTTCCAATGGGATAAGCAAGGTACTAGAAAGTACTAAAAAACAGGGTTTTACTAGCTGCTGAAAAAACCTCTAGTATGCAGCCACTATGATTGTGTTGTAGTGTGTGTTACATACAGACAGGCTGATGAACCTTTGTATACTAGTTGCCTTATTGCAATGAACTGGTAAAGAAGACTTTCAGACACTGATATATATTGTTAATCACTCATTTTAAAATTTTCTTTCTAGTCTTTAGAAAGCACAAGGAGGATTCTTGGCTTGGCCATTGAGGTAAGGAAAAGCTTTTGAATTCCCTGGGGATTTATTAATTTAAGTAAGCAGCAATATGTTAACTATTATAAAGTGATAGTTTGTAATCACAAACACAATCACAACTTGTAATCACAATCACATAAACACAAACATCACTTTTGTGTCTTTCTCAAACTTTTTTTGAGACACACACTTCATTATTAGAAGTTGCTGCTTTAATTCAGTAGTAGAGTTGGAATGACTTAAACCTAATGTTTTTCACATTATGTAAATTCAGATCACAGAAGGTTCAATATCCTTTTTACCTGTTTTCCTCTTAAGCAAAATGGCCTAATCTCCAAATGCTACAGATGAGTTATAAAAAGTCTTCTGTGATGGTCAGTTGTGGCTTTGGTGCTGCAACACTTGCTTCTCATAACATCTGTTTGTCTTTTACCTCACTTTACCTGTGAACGGTGTGAAAATGTCTGGCTTTGAGGAGGAGGGTAGGGCTCAGTTGGGTGGGGTAGTAGAGGGCAGGGCTGCTTTTGGTTCTAAACAAAGTAGTTCTACACCTTCTTACAATCTGTTCATCAGTTTTAACTTTAAAGATAGTTAAGTATGATGATGAAACTCTTAACACCTTTGTAAGTGACTTGAAACAAAGAAATCCAGATTTTGGGTTTATCTAGGTGAAGTTATGTGAGGAATCTGTTCCTCTACACTGTTATGGCTTGCATGGCCCATTGTAAAAATGGCTGAAAGTTTACTTTTGATACTGTAATTTCAAAAAATGTAGAGCATCCTGTTGGTAGGGAGTAAGATAAGATGGCTGATAGTCAGCTGTGATAGACTTGTCTTGCCGAACCAGTTAAGCTTTGTTGATTTTGCTAATACTTGGATATGCCATGGACAAATGGGAATCCAGAGACTAAGCCTTTCAAAGCTAATGCCCAGACTTTTAGTGCTGAAGACTTGAGACAATTTATTGTCAGTGTGAGAACACTAAAAAATAATCTAATGAATAAGGACCCTAAAGTGTTTGGTCACTACTGCTTTAGAACCCATACTTACTGTCCAGACAGTAGCAGGCTGCTGTGGAACTGAAGATGCTACTGTTATTATTACTGTTATTATTACTGTTAGTGAGGCATTTGAATCAGCATAGCGTCATGAATACCTCTCAAACACAAACATTAAGAACATGTAATAAACCAGCATAATTTCTCTTGGTATCATATTTTGGTGATTCATAGAAGCTAAAATAACTCCTACCATAGACAGTTCTATGCTGCCAATTTACAGTAAAGCATGGGTGCAACTTGCATGGTAGATTCAAGACTTTGACCCAGCAAAGAGCTGTACCGTGGTATATTCCTCACTGCTGATTTCTTTTGCTTGGTTCTAAAACCAGTGGTGTGCTATTATCTTCTTGATCTCTTCTGCTGAATTCTCGAGAATGGTTTTGCAAGCTTTGTTTTACTTTTATTCTGGCTTCCAGGACTAAAGGCCTTGTCAGCCCTATTGAAGAGTGTAGGAATAATGAATGAACTAAATGCCACTTTTCAAAACAAGGCACAGCTAGGTTTACTTTTTTAGCTTGACATTGTCATAGTTCAATCTGAGTATTACAATAAATTTTATCGTCTTGTTGTAATGTAAAAAAAAACCTCACAAAAACCCCCACTAATTGAGATAGTGTAACAGGTGAGATAATTATCAGCCTAACATAGGGTCTAATTTGAAACTTAGCGTAGCTTTGCTACAGAAGTTATTCCTAGCACAGTGTTTTATTATGAACTTGGTTGGCTTATCAAATTTACTATAGAGACCTTCTGATTTTGCACTGCTGTATTGAAATATGTTTTTATATCTGCAAATAAATTTCTTCCTGCAGTCCCAGGATGTCGGCATCAAAACTATCACCATGCTGGATGAACAGGGAGGTGAGTTCTTCCTTCCTCCTGTCTAACACTAAAAATCAATTTTATGATGGTAAGAAAAAGCATTATCATTTAAGGGTTGTTGCTGAAACTAAAAGCTTGTTAAAGACTACTTATGTGAAAATGAGATTTGCTGATTGGTTATTCCCATGGGTTTTTAGTATTTAAAAGGAGTTTTAAAATAGTTGAGAGACCATGTTAGTTACACTGTAATACAGCCTCTGCTACAGAAGCCGTTCATTTCCACCATAGCATGGATGTAACTGTCTGCATTTATTCTAAGAGCAACAACAGAAGTGCTGTTCTAAGGATAGGGAAAATATTTTTAATGTGGTAAACAAAACTTTCGCTTAATATCTTTCTTAACAATAAAAATTAAAAAAAAATTAAAAATCCCAGTAGGCAGGAAAGGAAAAAAGCATTAGGCTTGGTATAAAGATAGAACTGAAACTTGTAAGTTCCTGCTTGAAAGAAATGTTAATATCCCACCCCCACTTTCCCCCAATCCGTGTGTATTCAGGTTACTTGTCTCTCTTCCAGAACAACTAAATCGCATAGAAGAAGGCATGGACCAGATAAATAAAGATATGAGAGAAGCTGAGAAGACACTGACAGAGCTCAACAAATGTTGTGGGCTCTGTGTCTGTCCTTGTAACAGGTCAGTTAAATTGGTACTTGGGTCTGAAGTTCTAGAATATTCCCAATAGCTACTGTACTGGGAGATGGTCTCTTATAAAAGAGCTAATTAAAAAATGCTGAATCTCTAGGAAAGTTGACTGTTTTGGTTTGTAGAGGTGCACCCTTTTAAAATTGTATGAGAGTAGCTAAAGCTTACTTGCATCTAACCATATATTGTGCCTCTTTCACTGTATAACATCCTGCACAATTGTGCCCTAATCTCCTTAAAGCTTATGTTTAGTAGAATACTATCAATGTCCATATAGATGAGACCAAATTGGACTGCAAATAGCTATATGTAGTGCCTGACTCTTAGAAATTTGACTCCAAAAATCATTTCTTCACAACAATACTTCTGTACTAACTTAAAAGCAAGGAAACTTCTGTTTTGGAGAAGAAAGTAATATTGGTTCTCTAGGCATTTAAAAAATGTTCATGCTTTAGGGAGAAAGAGAGTAGGAGAACGGACGTTGGTGTTAAAGCTTTAATCTTTCACTAGTGACTACATAAATTCTTGCAGACCTGCTTCACAATACCTTTATAACATCAGCATTATGGCTACCATATCCAAGTCAGTTAAGAGTAATCTGATCTTTTGTAGGGCACTTGATTTGTACTTCTAAACACCTAAACAGTCTAAACAATGATCAGAAATCAGTAATATAAGGAAAACAATATTTATATTTTTGGAGGTCTGCTAGCTTTATCTTTAAGCAGCAAAGTATCAAATCGATTTTTGTGAATTGGATGTGATCATAGTTTTTCCAAGTGAAGGAAAAATAGGTTATTTTAAGTGTGTGACCACTGAAGTGAATAGTTTGTGTATGTTTGTTCATTTTTAGCTCTTTAGCATGAGCAAAAAACCCTATCATTCAACTGAGAGGTAGCAGAAATTAAGGTAAAAATTCCTTGGAGTAGCTGAGTCTGCTTAACCAACAGAATAATACTTTGAGGATCGTTTAGGATAGATATGAATGTGGCTTCTAAGGCTGAAAGTCGTAGAGCTTTAGTACCTTGAAAAGGCAGATAGTTCTGTCCTGGCTTCTGAATAGGTGTGCTTACTGCTTTATATTAGTTTTATCAAGCTGATGGACTTCGAGCATTTTGACATGCTTAGTCTTTGTTTTCTGTAGTTGACAGTCTTATTTCACTGAAGCTAAGCAGTTTATTGACACTGAGCAAGCTCAGAATTTATGAACGCTTGTGGCACTCCAAATACACAGGTAACAATAAAAGAAATAATGAGTTGTGTACCAAAATGGGCAATAATGTGCAGAAAAATCTACTAAATAAGTAGAGGGCAATGAATAAGAAATTGTCAATGCCTTTCATATATTTACTGGAACATCAATTTTTCTGTCAATGTCAGAGTTATTTGTCAACCAGTTATCTCCAAAGCTTTTTTTTTTCAGAAAGATAAATCAGAACACCTGCTGAATTAAATACTTCTTTTCTCATTTCTCCTCAGCTTAGATTATTTATAAAAGCTTTGTGAAAACACAAAATACTGCAGTACTCTAATATAATCTATGTACTAATAACAATTTACCTGTTTGCTGTTCTTTACTATTCTTTCTTCTCCATTCTCTCCTAACACTGATGCTTGCTTTCTAAAAATGAAGACTAGGATAAGAAGCTGTATTCGCTTAACTGGTGAAAGCGGATTTTAGGACAAGGTCAGTCTTATTAGTGCAGATGTACGTTTAATCAGCTGTCTGAAGTGATGCTTCTATTGCATTTGTGCTTGCACGTGCATGATGTCTGCATGCAGGTCTCCTTGTGGCTGTGATGTGTTGTAACACTGATGTGAATAGAAAATGTCAATTACTGTAGAGTGTATTACTTGAGGAAATGTTGAACAATTGCTTGAGCCCTTGCTGGTTTGACAGGTTGTATAAATTGCCTTACTCTTACAGAAATGAAACATGAGAAAAGTGAACGCATAGTAATTTGAAAAACAACCCTGAAAAAAATCAGGTGGTGAGAAGCTTTGTTCTTAACTGTGCTTAGTTTGAGCAACAACTCTGTTTCTAGCTGTCTACTTCAGATGTGCAAGTAGTTTTCAGGACGCTTGTTTTTGTTCAATAAATTCCTCAGTTACCTCTGGCACCTAAGACTTTGCTAATCCAGAAGCCAAGCATACAAAGCTCTCTTGCTGTTGCAGCTTTAGTATGAATGAGATGAAAATACAATGCTCAGTCTAGTTGCAGTAAACCTAAAGAGATCTTTAAGCCTGTGTATGCAAAGGAGCTAGAATTGACTACTTCAGGTTTCTTTAGGGTTCTGCTGGGTCCAACAGTTCCATTATGAACTGAGAAATTATTCCATTTCTTCCCCTTGATGTATTCATATTAGATTACTTTTCATAGGATCTGACCTATGAAATACAATTTCCCATTTCGATTACATAAATGCCAGAAGAATGAGGGGAATATTTCTTTGTTACAGCTAATTTCACACCTCTTCAAATGTGAAACATCTGGGCTACTGAAGGACACTATAGATCTAGAAATTGATTACCTGTAACTGTAAAGTTAGATGTACTGAAAGACACTACAGATTTCCCTTCACAGGCTTTTAAAGAAGCAGAAAAGTGGCAGTGGAGTCTGGATTATCTAGCTTAAACCTGAAAATGCCAGCAAACAAGGTGAACATGAGAATATTCTTCTCAACATATGTTCTTTGGTGTTCATGAGAACTGACCCCAATTTAGATCAGTTAGATTTTCTTCCCCTCTTGCTTTTGTGGGTCTGTGATTCTTGAGATTACTTCATGTCAGTGTGCTTTCTTTAATTTTTTTCTCTTCTGAGTTATGTGGTAAAAGTGTAATGGTAAGTTGGTTTGTCGCTTTAATGGAGTTAGTACAATTCAATTGCAGAATGGAGGAGCTATTTAAACATGATTACTGTTATTTCATAATCAAAATTAACCTGAGAAACATTAATCTTAAAAAGAAAGACTTGGCAACAGAAAATATTCAACAAAGAATAGTAGAGATTAATGGTTTTCTTGCATAGTCTACCTACTTGTATTTGAGGGAGTTTTTTTTTCCTTTATCCCCATTTTTTTCCCTGAAAAGTAACTAATCCTGACTCTAAACTAACTCCTGTTGTAAATGCAACTTTATCTTATGACAGTGTAAACTTTCCTGTTACTGTCATAAGCTTCCCCTCTTCTGGTAAAGTATACTACTTTAAGGAAATTACTGTGCTTGTATTAAAGCTTCAGACCAAATTAATCACTGTCCCTAGAGTAACTCACTTATGTTTGTACTATCCCAATATAAGAAATCGTATTGTATAGACAAGGCGTTGTCTATACAAAATCTAATCTCTTTCAGGCACAAGACAAATGTTTCTGAAAATCCTAGATTAATACAGAACTTAAGTCAGGAAGCCGTGTTTCTGATGTAGCAGTTCAGATTTCTTATTTTTACGGAGTAGGACGAAGAACTTTGAGGCTAGCAAGGCATACAGAGCAACCTGGGGAGATGGAACAGAGAACTCGGCAGATCATGTGATATCCATGCAACCAAGAAGTATAAATCAGCAGCAGCCTCAGACTTCTGGAGGACCAAGTGGCGGATATATTACAAGGTTTGCTTCTTCATATTTCTCAATCTCAAATGCAGAAATCCTAAGTTATCAGTTGTCAGCTTCTTTCAGCTGCATTTTAGCTGAAGTTGCTAAATAGTAAGGTTTTTTTACTACTGCTTGGAGGAATTGTTACTGCTTGGAGAGGAGGTGGCAGACACCTACACTTTCAGTATTGTAGCGCTCATCCTACACTTTCATTTTTTTTCATAGTGGTGGTATTAGGTATTATCAGTCTGTTTCTGGGTGTGAGGACTATAGAGCTTAGTACTCATCTGTTGAGGGGACTGTTAAAAATATCGAGGACTTTTATTGTCATAAAGTATATTTGAGACAAACTCATGTCTTAAACTTCCTCTGTAGCTGTTACTTTAAATTCTAAAGCTATTTTTGTAATAGCGGCTACCTTAACACCCTTTTTTGGTGGTCTTGCTTGGAATACGTGGGGTTTTAAAGGGGGAAAAACATACCTTGGCTTGAATACATTGCCTGTCAGGTAACTGTGCAACAAACAATTTCTATTAAAATAAATTTAGGGTAGGGAAAAGCAAGTGTTTGATTCTTAGAAACATTGTCTTAATTATTTGAACAGGATAACAAATGATGCCAGAGAAGATGAAATGGATGAAAATCTTGCTCAAGTGGGAAACATTCTTGGGAATTTGAAAAACATGGCTTTGGATATGGGCAATGAGATTGATGCCCAGAATAAACAAATAGACCGGATAAATGTAAAGGTAAGTGTCAAAGGTGTTCTCTGCCTTCAGCTTAGAGGCTGTTGCTGGGAAGTTATGAGGAATGGGCTCACTGTCCTGTCTACCTGTATGTGCAGTAAATGTGCATTAAGATTGTACCATCCTCTACGTTGCAGTGATTTTCACAACAGATATATCTTGGTGTTTGGGTATGGAGCTGAAAATTCAAATGCTTCAGAGTGTTAGGAAACATAAAAATAAAACACAGGTCACTTATTACTCTGAAAACAACTAAACTTGATTGGATCAAAAGGGCAAACATTTACAGGAGGTATAACTGGGGAATTGTTGCTTACAGGGAATCTTGTGTGTGGTAGGGAATAGGTATTTTTAACAATAGCAAGATTCTTCTGGAATTCCTAAAAAGTCACTATAATTGAATGTAAAATAAAACACAGGTAATGTATTGCTCTAATTCTCATGGCCAGAGAGAATATTGGGGCTGGAGAGGCTTTGGAATAATAGGTTTTGTAGGCACATGGGGACATGGTCTGCCCTCATCTGCACATGAAGTTAATCATAGCCAGTAGCATCTTTTTTTTTTAATTTTATTGCTTTAAAGATTAACTTCCCATAACAGATTAATCATATACAAGTATGTTTGGGAGGGGTTGCTTTCAGGGGGCAACTTATGAGGAAGTTAGTCGTATTTTAGAAATCCCCATATTCTGAAGTGAATAGAAGTTCTTTTACAGACATCCTGGTTAAGAAAGGAAATGAAAGCTTTAATGAATAGTGTCTATTAAAGATTCTAAAAAGCAGAAGTGGACACCAATTGCTGTAAAATTATAAAATTAGGATGAAATGGGAAGTTAAGGATATAAGTGAAATGCCCAGTAGGGTTAAAAGCAAGAGGAACAGAATTTTCTCAAATACACAGAGCTAGTCTAACATAAATGCTAGTTGTACCTATGTCAGCATGATCTTATGGAGGATGCCTTAATTCTCTTTCATTGTTCCCTGAAACTGCAGATCAGAGGTGATTATCAAATAAAATAACTCAAACACTTTTAAAGAACACTAGAAAAGTTAATTGTAGTTTAAAATGAGATGTGAAATTCTTACAGCTTATAAAGTGGACTGAAAATTGCCTGGTCAAATTAACTGCAAGTGGGAATTACTGTTTTTAGCAGTAGTGTTTCTGGTAGTTTCAAGCACCTGTTTTGGCCTGATGCTCTTTCATTTTAGTGGTCTGAATAAATCTTGCTGATAAGTCTTACTAACTATTGAAATATGATGTAAACAAGTTAGAATTGCTTTACAAAACAGGAATTGCACTTTCATTTTTATTGCTGGCTTCGAGACTGGCAACCTGTCTGAGGATACTTAAATTGATCCTTTTCTGCTGATAACTGTTTTTAAATCTAGTGAACAGTGTGGAAAACGAATTAAAATGTTGAGGGTAAATCTCCAAAGGACAGTACCATATAAAGAAACAAAGAGCAATACTAAGCTTAACTGCAGAATAGAGTTCATGCTTTTATTTTTATTTTTTAAAAAATTAAAAATTCCAACTAACCTGGGAAATACATAGGCTTGACTGGGTGACTTTTGGTAGCCTGCGGTGTTACGCAGGACTCCTAGTCTGAATAAACCCCTGATAAAAGTTTATGTTACTGGCTCTTTTCTTAAAAGAGGATCTGGTAGCTAGATCAAGGTGTTTCCAAAGTGGTGTTAAGAGCTTAGATTCTTACTTTTCTATAGTAGATTCCTGCCCCTCCCCAACTCTTGACCCGAAGGGCAGGAAAGAAAGAACAGGAGGGAAGGGCTTGAACTGTGAATGTCGTCTTCCCCACCCATTGCAGTATGAAGGTGTGAAATGGCTAATAGTTGGCACAGGTAGAGCTTCTCAGGAGTTCCACTACCCATGGTTAGGGCAGAGGCTAGTTTTGTGCTTATTACCCCTCCTGCTCATTCCCCGCTGCAGGCTGGGTAATCAGGGAATTATTTCGAAGCTCCTTATCATACCTTTCAGTAAAACTATTTTTACACTTGTTCAGCCTAGGTGCTCTAGCTGACTTTTGATGCTTTATAGTAGTAAAACTATTACAACTAAAAATTACAAAACAAAGTGCTTTTCTTACAAATACCATACTATTATGACACCAGGACACTGGATGGTGTGCGGATGAAAACCAGGGATTTGCACTAAGCAAAATAATCCTGACTTTATGCCCATAGGCCACTTCCAGTTTTGATTATTACTTCTAGACCATAGCAACAAAGTTGCTTCATAGAGGTCCTTAGGATGTCTAAATGTTTGGGGAGAGGGAATTTTTATCCCCTTGTTCTGCTACTGTTCTTCCTGACTTGCTGAAGCAAGCTGCTGTATGTTTTGAGAGTCAGCCAAAGACTAAAAACTATTTTTCCTGATTCTGTTTCTGCCAAAAACTGACAGCCTATGCTGGCTTAAAAGAAAAAAAACTACTTCTAGCTTATAAAAGTTGCTCCCCTTCCGTCTACCACAATGATAATACCCTGCAATTCAGAAGTTCATGTCAGTTTGAATTTTTAAATTGTTTTGTATGAAGTCTGCAATTGACCTATGAATTTGTCTCTTTCAGGCTGATACAAACAGGGAACGCATTGAGCAAGCCAACATCAGAGCCAAGAAACTAATTGACAATTAAAGCCTGCTGTCGTTGTTCAATGACACTGTCTCTCCAGCTGCAAGCCACCGTATTTATGGATCTGTGAAACTTCTCCTATTCTGAAATAAGAGGGGCTGGGAAAAATGAAGCAGTACCCTTTCTACAGGGTTTAATTTTCTTTTATTTTTTTTTTATTCCTTCATGTAAACGTGGCCTTGACTCCAAGAAAGCAGCCAGCATAACTTCCTCCGACTCATCTACCTTCACTTTCTTTAAACTGCTCAGGGCTAAAAGTGTTACGGCTTTGAGAATCTTCTTGCATGTGTTATTCCTCTTCCCAGTCTCTTTTTTTTCCTGCACCCAAAATACAGTCCTCTATTGAAGTTGAACAAGCAGGGTAACCTGAATTCACAGTTGTGGAAAGTTGGAGAGGGCACTTTGCACTGTTTGAAATACCTCATAAGTTGAGTGTCTTCACTAAAGTAGGGACTTGGTGAATATTGTCTGACTTGTATCTCTAGCAGGCTAACCATAGTTTTACAATCCAAACCACGATTGGTTTGGGCTTGAGTTTCTGGATTACAGAATTGAAGAGGCCCACTACTTACTACTTGTGGGTTGAGGGCTTTAAAACACTTCCTAAATACACAAACTTTAATGTAAAGGTAGCTGGAGGGGTATACAGGTTTCCATTTCTTTACTGTAAATTGACATTGGTTTGGAGGCAATGACCAGGAAATTTTGCTGCATTGTTCTGATAATATTTGGGGGGTGTGTGTATAAACCTGACCTAAACCCCACGCACATGTGAGTAGAAGAAAATAAAACTATCTCCCTAAAGTATTTATTTGATGGAAAATTTTATGCCCCTCATCTAAAAGTTAACTTTTAAGTGTTTGAATGATGCATCTTAACTGGAAGAAACTGAGTAGAAAAGCATGCAGCTTTCTTGCATCCCATATCAGATTTTATTTTGGCCAGTTTTCACTGGAGTTCAGTTTATGCTGTTTTCCAGTGCAAAATAATGATTGAGATCTGGTGCAGAGTTTGTTTTCAGCAGTGACTTTGGGGGAGCTTCTTAAACCTACTGAAAACAGAGAAGCTTGTTACGAAACTTTTGTCACAAGTCTGGAGGAAGCAGTACCTATTTAAGAACTGTATGCTAGTTCTAAATAAACTAGTTCTAAATAGATTCCTGACTGGTTTATTATTGCAGATGTTGGGACTGGCAATTGGAAATCTTATGTGTCCAAGTTGCTTGCAACTAAAATGTTCCTGTTCTGTTGCAAAATAGAGGAGTTTCTGACTAGGTGAGGTAAAGCTCCCTTGCTATGAAGAGGAAAAACATTTTGTTTTTACTGTAGTATAATCAGATTTATTCCCAAAAAATTATTGAATTTTTTTTTTGCAAGTAAATTGCAAGTGACCTGTATAGTTTTAACTCCACCCAGCAATGTATTATGCCTGTTTTAAAGGTGGAAATGATGCTTTGGACTAACCTGTGATACTCAATGTAGGATGGCAAAAATCTTCAAATCAAATTGATTGGAGGAATAATTAAAACTAATAGCATTATGGGGTGGTTTTTTGGAAGGACAGTCCACAAGTATCCTGTAGCCATTAATAATAAATCCCAGGGCTAGAGAGATGACACTAATCTGCTGAAATGCAAGACAAACAGTGTTAAGTGTTTTGATTTGTTTTTCCTTTCAGTAGAAATACAATCAGTATGACTGGTATATTCTCAGTTCACCCCTGGGACAACTTGATATTTAAAGAAGAGAAAACCACTGCCCATGCTCCCCTCCCTGCCCCCCCCAAAAACCCAAACAAAAAAAAACCCCAAACAAAAAACCACAAACAAACAAAAAAAACCCTGACCAAAGGGTGGAGCTGCTGCATGTAATAAATAGGTCAGTGGTAGATTGTTTTATGTGAATAAGGTAAAGTCATTTTTAGGGGATGGGATACTTCAGTGGTGTGTGTTAGCTTCTGTCTGGCTTCCAGTAATTGTTGGAAAGCTAATGAATTTTAAAAACTCATTATCTACCCCACTAGGAACAAAAATTATGTGCTTAAAAACACAAGTAGCAAAGGAGTACTTTTAAGAACACTGCATAGTAAATTTCTAACAAACACTTGCATGGGAAGGCATAGGGGATTTGTATGCTTTTTTTTTTTTCCCCTTCTTACAAACTTCGGGTTAACTGAAGGAATATTTGCTGCTGGTTGTAAAATCAAAGCATACATTATTTAATTACGATTATCTCCTGAAACAGAAGACTAAAGCGGTTACCTCATTCTGCTTACAACAGTGCAAACCTGCTCTGTAGCATCTGGACATTCCAAACATTGGAATGCTTTTCTCCCTTGCCATTACAAGTCCATGTTCTTGACTTCCCTGAGCTCTAACAACAAATTAGCACTTTGGCTGAGAGAATGCTGTGATTGGTATATCAGAATTGTAATATTGCAATGAATACACACAAGGAAATAATTTCTGAGACTCTAAACTTGAGCATTAGCGGAATATCAATACTATTTTCTGATGCAGCAAGAGCCAAATCTGTGAGGGAGTTGGTGCCTTCATGTTAATGAACACCACAGTCTGCTTCTTGGATTGTCTTACTGTTGTCTATAGAATAGATGCTTTATTTCCATATCTATGGGATGGAATCAGCACTTGTACATCTTTGTATTTCTGAATGCTATTAATAATGAAGGTTTACAGTTTCTGCTTTTGATTGTTAAACTATATATTGTGCACAAAAAATACATACTTTTATAACTGAGTGTGTTTTAAAACTATTTTCTCTTAGAAATGTCTTTGTTTAGTTTCCTGTCCTTGAAAAACTTGGCAGAAACTAGTTGCTACTGTGCAACTAGGAAGTTTCACTTCTATTTTTATTTCACAGAAATCCTAATGCTAACAAAGGAATGGGTGTAGTTCAGAAGAGAGGAATATTTTGATTTTTTTTTTTTTCCTCCACACTCTAGTTTTCATTCCTGCATAATCAACATCACCTAACTTCAAACTATGAAATGTTTCCACCTCTTCTTTGAAAGACTGATTTGTCATGGACTATACTTCAGGATGATAAAGGAACTAAGCAGAATAAAACTCTCCAGTCAAGTATCGGTAACAGATGCTTAGCAAATACCTAGTCCAATAGGTGAAATCTAGTGATTTAATCTACTGCCAATGTAATTTCCCTTGCAAAGCGATTTAGATTTGTATTTTCTCTGGTGCTCGAGCCTCAGATTCCTCGAATGCTCTTGAGGGGAGGAGGGTGGGGGGAAGAGAGACTTGTGTTGACTTGCAGCAGTTTTGAGCTGTAGGAGAGAAGAGCATATCTGGGAATGGCTTGGAAGAAGTACTTCTCATACTACTGTGGGGCTGCCTGGTATATTTCTACCAGTAACTAGGAAAAAAAAAAAATTAGGGACTGCCATGCAGCACATGTGCCATAGGTACACTTAAACCATGATAGTTGGTAAATTCAAGCTAGCCTTCTCCTTGATGAAAGATGAGTTAAGCCTCTCAACACAGGGGTAGCTATAGTGTGAACTGCAGCACGTGCTGCTTGTGCAGTAACTTGCAGAACTCTTTCCTCTGTCAAGGCTATAGGGTGAAACAACTTGCTCTTTACACAATGCAGTGACTGCAGTTGATAATTCACCTTTGCTGCACTTGAAACAGCAATGCGCTATCTAAACATTGATGGAGTAAATGAATGAAAAGTGTATCTTACTGCAATGGAAAATTAGAGAGCAAGTAAAATGGGTCTGACACAAAATACATGAATGGTTTATGCTATTAACTAGGGTAACATTTTCTATCTCAGTAATTCCAAAACTAAAAAGCTGCAAGTGTAGTTGTGTGTGGAAATAAATTGTTTTATAATGTCATGTGTAGAGTGGGTGTGGTGAGAAGGGAAAACTGAGAAACCCACAATATAAAACTACTAATAGATTATGTGTAGTACTGAGATGTTCAGAACTGTGTTCTACGAAGTGACTTGGCAACAGTTATTTATTGCTATGACCTAAAACATGTGAGGGTGTCAGCCAGCTTTTTTTTTTTTTTCTCCTTGTAAGAGAAATACTCTTCCTCTGTTCTGAAACAAATTTGGCTAATCCAGGACTAACTCAGCACCATTCAGTATTTTGTATGGGGTTTTCTCCCTCTTGCTTTACAAAGTTTTTGATAGCTGTCTTAACTCCAAGGTAGCAAAGGAGCCTAACAGAGTAATTGAAAGGTTTATAAATGTATACATAAAAAAGAGAAATGTTGACTTACTATCTCAAACACTTCTAACAGCAGTAAGAATTTTTTAATAGCAATGCTAATTTCATAATTTATAAATGTTCTAATATACTATCTCTTCTGATATATCTTTGTTGAATAGACAGAAGAATCCTGATAAACAAATGTTAAACTTGAGAGAAGCAGCATGTCTGAGCACAGAGTATTTCCAGTTTAAAAAAAAAAAAAAAAACAAAACCACAGCACAACATTGCCAAGTGCATACATACCGATGATAGACCGCTCCTTTGTAGTTGCCAGAGTTGGTGAGTTGCTCCTTTCTCGTGCAAAGGGGGAATCTGCTAACTGAGGGGCTTTGTTCTGTGGGTGTCTCTTGCATGGCAAACCTCTAGGGAAAAAAGCTAATACTTCAAATGGGGTGTAGGTATCAAATGGAAGGACCTGAACTTAAAACAAGCCTCGGGATTTAAACTATTCACTGCTGAATTTTTACATGTCATAATCTGTGGAGTGTATTGCGATGAAGCTGAATAGATTTCTGACTATATAGGGCCTTGCATTATGGCGACATACAGGTTGTCTTCTTAAAGCAATCCCCTAGTTATGTCTTGCAAAACGAAGTAGCCTAGTAAACATTGTCTGCTGTCAGCTACTTCTTACGGGAAGATAGTTTTTCCATAAAGTAACAGCTGGAATGGGGGTTCTTAAGTAAAACTTGTTCCCTGTTTAATGATGGATCTCATCCATCCTTTGAGTAAGGAGCTGATGTTCCCTAAAGCACACTTGTAATAGGTATGACTATGTAAGAATTGAAATAAGACATCAACAGGGTCAGGGAACTAGATACTTCGTCTGAGCATCTTATAAAAGAACCACTTATTGCTAATTTTAATTATAGTTATTACATTGAGGAAAAAGATTGGCACAGAGGTCACTTCATTTTTCTTAACTGCAGATGGCATAAGACATTGAATACACTTGATGATTACACCAGCAACTTTAAGGAGTTTGCTATCTAAATGCCTTTCTTGTCTCATGTAGGAAAGCTTAAGTATAGAACAGTACTTAATGTACAATTACATGTAAGGCAGTCGCATTAGGAATAGATGCATCCATGCTTATCCTGCCAAGAAGCGTACTTAGTACCGCTCCTACTTCACTGTTTTGAGCATGCAGTACGTATTAACTGAATTGTTAGCAAAGCGTTGACACACTCGAATCCTCTGCATTCTCAAAGCAGTTGAAGCGTAGCTGTTACCAACAACTGATGGAACTAAGTACCCGAGTGAGGGCTTTCAGGGATAGCTTAGTACTACTTGTTAAAGTGACAACAGCAGCAGTTACACCAAATAAACTTGAACTGATTTTTTGAAAATTATTTACTAAAATAAACAAGTACATTTTCCTTTTCAGTATAAGTTACATAATTGCATACATTTTTAGCTCTTTCTAGG